ATTAACTGAAATGACAAACTTTATATATCGTCTTGGTCACGTATATAACCAACAACAGTGTACTCAGACAGTATAGCATACAAACGAACACATTAAACTCATTATTGTACTATATTTAATATAATGTCGGGGTAAAACATTTTCAGTTAATACTTGACTACTAATAAGCTTCTAATTTATTGTGTGTACAAAATGCGAAGAATTGAACTTTTTAACACTTTTTGGGGCGCAAATGTTTGCCGAGTAAATGAAATTTTAAATTTATGGCTGGTTAGCAAAGTTTATTTTAGAATATTTAGTTTGTGTGACCCACAAACCGTAAGCAGTATGTAAATTAAAAAAAAAAAAATAACTTTATTAAATTATAAGCAATAAATTAAGAACTTTGCGGCGTTTATCCGATGGGATCTATAATTAACTCTAAAAACACGCACAAGGTGTGATTTCTGGTGGCCTTTTTTTGTGTCATTCAGAAGTATTTTGTGAAGTAAAAATAAATGGTTTTACTGATTAATGTAAGGAAAATATCATCTCTATATGGAGGAACATATGGTCGAAGAACCAAGGAGGAAAATAGTAGATCGTTTATAACCTAAATATTCTCTCTACGCGCTCCTCTTGAGTCTTTTAAAGAAAAGTAATTGCTGATGCTCTCAGAGATTAGGCTTGCGATTGTTTGCGCTACTGAGTCTACACGAATTTTTTTAAGACTACTAGTGCAGTTCCAAATTGAGCCAGCTATGGAGTTTATGAACACTCCCAACTTTGGCGTGAATAAAACATTATATTCAACAGCGAATGAATCTTTTATGCATTCATAATCTTTATCTTAAAAAAGAATGGAATTTCCATATTCCGTGAGTGATGGTGGATGGTCTTCTCCGTCAAAATTTTTCTTTTACTTTTGTTGTAGTTTGCGAGCAATGAGCAAAAAGACCACAAAGCTGAGGCATTCTCAATTTATGCTGCACTGTAGACGTGTTCTTCGACAAATTTAGACCATTGTCAATACCAACCTATCTGCAGGAACTTTCAATGGTTTTAGTAAATTCCAGGTATTTTTAAGTCCGGGAGAATGTTTACTACAGACACTATATAGCTGGGCAGGCGGACAATTGGACAAGCTCCAATCGATTGGATAAAGTGAATAAAATTCCTACTCTCCAGTGGTGGGTATGACAAAAGATCCCGGGTAAATCTCGTCATAACAACCGTTAACATACAAGAGTGAAATAAGTATGAAAAGAGCTTAAAGATAATGTCAACGTCGAGATTACAACAGACGTTAAAAGTGTTAAAAACAGGTAACGAAAAAACCCTTTTATCTCCATGTTAATGGCAGCGGAAGGGACAGTTCTTAATATCATCTTGCCTTTTATATTACATTGTTGTCGCTGCAAAATGTTCGTTCTTCCAATAGCCACACCTAGGGACTCCATTTTAATTTAATCATCTCCGAACGTGTTTATTAATTTAAGTCCCAACTGTTACCTCGCATGGACTTGTTGATTGCGTTTTGAATGACTTATCACGGTTTAATTACGTACATGTTTTATTCCTTCGATTGTAAATCTCCATGTATCCTCCCGTCCCGGATTGTCTAGCCTAAGGCAAACATACAGCCAAGTTGTTTAAGACAAGACATCCAACCCACTATTCCACAATTGCCATCACTTAACGCTGCAATTACTTTGGTTTAGTAGTTTAGATTTGAAATGCTTTGCCGCTCGGTGCGACTTACGTCGCAACCTATATCCCCTTTAATTTAGATCAGATCTTTGTAAATTTGATTAATTCTCTAATCCAAAAAATTCCACGGTCAATTTCATGACCAACAAATTGTCAGTTTCGTCACACACTCAATGTCATATTGATTCTATTGAATCTGTTCAGAAGCAGTTTCTGTTACTAGAACGAGTTTCATTGCTTACACTATCGCCTTATAAACGTAGAGTGATTATTATTGTCCTACTTTGACTAGAATAGAGCCATTCTAGATGTTTATACTCAAGACCAGCCTAAATTTTCCTTGCCAGGTTTCAACGTAGAGAGTCTAAACAGTGCAACCGTAACTATGTAATGTTATGCAATAATGTGAATAACATTTGCAATTTAATTTCATTAACGGATCCATTGAATAAAGTTTTATTTAGGCTACTTTACGGCAGTAACTTTAATGTCTTCCCTTCTCTCACGCGTTCTTGCTTTCCTTGCTTTCCATAGCCATGGAATTAATCTCAATTTCCTTATAATTTGTATACCCAGCACCATTTGTGGGGCAAGGGTATATTAACCATGTGCGGATGCAGCCCACAACCAGGAGGACTTGAGATAGACCCATCTTTTGTTATGGCGATTGGTTCTGAAATTGATCCTGAATCGATCTAAGCTTACCTGTCCGTCTATCCGTCTTGTTTTCTTCTGTTCAAATTGGATTGGATCACTTTTCCGATTAGTGCCAATATAACAGCTTATTCTGTAAAATCGTTGTATGAATAGGTGTAATAATAATTTTGCCGCATATAGTTCTAAATGCATTAGCTGACAATGCATGTTTTTTTATTTACATCTTTTTTTCTTCTTTTTTCATTTACATCTCTCGTTCTTTTAAGCGATATTTGTTTTTGCTTTCGCATTAATTGTAGTTCTAGCCTTCTTTTCTTTTAATCAGAAACCTGAATTCAGCTTACTTTTAACAATTGTACATGGATAGATTTTTTTTTTTTTCTTTTTTTTTTGATTTGCTTGGAAATGGATTGGACCAGTTAAATTAATATTAGATCCATAATCCAGGGATAGATTATTAATAAACCAATAAACAATATTTCAGTAAAAAATATTTAGCAACTAATTTGAAAGCAATTTAAAATCTTCTGGCAAATATCAATATTTATTATTTTGTGCAAACGCTTATGAGGCCCTTCGATACAAAAGGCTGCCTGCCAAAATTGGACTAATAGACAGCGAATACGCTGTGAATCAACAAAATATTTTGAAATGTGTCTACTTATGTTTGAGGGATTTGGTTCTTCCAAAGCCATCGCAAATTGTGTATGATTTCCTTTGTGATCGATCTAATTTTAGAGACAAACTCCCTTGCCGGGAAACTCACTGATTTCACTGAAAAGAATATTATGACTGCTGTTGTCGCAACAGTCCAAAGCCGCTTGACAGATTATTGTAAGAAGATCAAATTATTGTAAACGAAATACCAGAAATTGTTCCCTTCTTCAGCGTTTCTTCAAATGTGAGCTCTTTTGCGACTATAAGTGAAATGGTTTGTCTATACCAATAAACCAAGAAAAATAGCGTTAGAAGAACTGAAAAGTTTCCTTAATTCCCGCGAGTTTAGTTCACCAATTCGCGCAGTCTTCTTTGCGAAGATCAGTTTTTAAACGACTACCCAGCCCAAAATCAGTTATAACAATGATTCTTTCTTGTATACGATATGAAAAACCATTTCAAAAATTTAATTATTTCGAAAAGTCCCTCGCCCCCGCCCCTCTTCGCAATTTCCTTCTTGCCGCACTATCGTATTTCTTGAGACTATTGGGTAAGATGTGTATCCAATGTTCTCCGTAAAACGTATCCATAGTTAACAGTTGTTTCTATTGAAAGTAAAAAAGCAATGTTAGAGATAATTTTGTTTAACGAAACAACATCAACCACATCCTTGCCATTATGACATTAGCAAAAAGATGCATCTTTTTGTTTATGGTTGGTTGTTGGTCGGTAGTGGCGCGTTATCACAATTGCTATAAACGGAAAGAGAACAAAACTCTCATAATGCGGTTGACATTTTTAAAGCCTCAGCAGCACTTGTGTCATGCTGCAAGTATTGACTGTTTGAATAGATGTTGCACTCTAGTTGAATGTGATAAACGGGTTGGAACTGTGTTGTAATAATGTTTATTTTTGAATTTGCAGTAGCACGACTACAGTAGCAGCGCAATTCAACGACTCATCTTACTCTTCTCTCTCGCTCTCTCTTTGCATTTTCACTTGTTGTGATTTTTTAGCGAGAGAAGTGCTAAGGGCAACCTGAACAACAAAGTAAGCTGCGGCATTACTTATATATATATATATATATATATATATATATATATATGTATATATGTATACGCGAGCAGTAGTGGAGAGCGGTCATGACATGTAGGGTCTGTCTGATAATATTATAGCGGAAGATAGGCAAACATATACACTCACATGAATGAACGTATAAACACTTTAACAAGCCTTTATGTGTTCGTGTTTGCATTTATTTTACTTTTGTTGCTCTTATTCTAGCGGAAGTTCAAAATGGCGCTACTATCAAAAATACAAAAAGAAAAAGTTAAAATAAAAAAATGAAAGACACAAAGTTGAAAAGGGTTTTTCAAAAATCTGTTCATTTCATTTAATCTCTTTTTATCCCACATTCATTTATACGTATGTTTATGCTTTTTCCTGACTTTATGTGCTTTAGCTGTTCATTCTGATGCTTTTGAATTTTGATTTAGCTAAAAAGGCTCCTTTCATACAATCGCACACACACGAACAGTCTGGGGGCGAGAGGAAAGCGAAAAGGTAAACTAGAATTAATATCATAAAACGTTTAATTGTCAAAGTGGCTCCGGCAGTCATTGCCATTGCTTTTAACAAAAGGTATAAATAAAAATTATTTAAATGAAAACAGATTTCTTTTTTAGATAAAATCACAAAGAAAAATAAACTGTTTAGCTGCTCCCTTTCTCTTCTGTGACGTGGGATTAATTTAGATTTTCGGATTAGTTTAAATCCAAAATTAATTAAGTAAAGACCTTAATTAACATATGAGCGTAGGGTTAACAAGGTTTCGTTAATAACTTAACTGAAAGCCATTCTTTAGTTGCTCCTATAAACGTTAATTGTTTCTGTTACGCTTCGCTTTGTTTAAATGAATATTTTGTATACAAGCATGTATTTTTGTTATCAGTCAGTGTTGCCGGCATTTTATTGTTTTAACGTTAGTGTATACTTACATTGTGCTGGTTCTAACCAAAATTGGCTGACCGAAAAATGCCGGAACATTTTCATCCATTAGTGAGTGTGTCTTAATGAAATTTAGCGTCGGATCCGGTAACGTCCGCGAATCGTTATGACAAGATCCGGGACGTGGTTCGGGCACCTATGAAAAAGAGAGAGAGAAAATATTAAAAAAATAAAAAGGCAGATAATCGTTAAAACGCATACATCAAATGTAAATACAGCACGGGCAAGGAAAACGAGGCGAAAATAACAATGAATTTTGTAATATGATATATGCTTATGTGTGTACGTATTCCTTTTCATTGTCATTTTCTTTTTTCAACAAAATTAACATCACTTCATAGATCAATACCTTTGTGCTACTTTGGAATTGCTTGGCTGACTTGAGATTATGTAATCAATACAAATCATCTTGTTTAGATTGTTTTTTGCGCAACTGGTACAGACTAAATTGTGAGTGAAATTCTAAGCAGTTGCAAACAACCAAACGCTTGACTACCAATAACGGTAAACATATTCAGTTAATTTTCAGTAATTTAAATACCACGCGGGCCTTAAGGCGGATTGACTTAATAGAATTTAAAGAATCCGATCTTGAGATTAAGCAAAGAACTCTGAACTTGTAATTGTATTGACATTGAGCAAGCCTTATGATGATACAGTTTCTAGAGAAGCGATTCGGGACATTAAAGTTTATCCCACCAACTAATGTGGGCGAATCAATGGTAACATTTATTAACTTAATTGAGAAGGAAGCACCAAGAATAAATCCACCTTTCTCCAGTGACGGTAAGGCGGACAGAAGCAATCTATTTTCATAAGGAGGCAAAAAGCAGGAATCGCTTTTGAACGGATTCCATTGAATCTACATAACACTTATAGCAAGGAGACTACGCACCAGAGGCATACTTAGGTATTGATCTGACTAAGCTCATGTATAGCGTTTTTGTAAAGCAAGAGTCGTCGAGCTCTTTGGATCTACTTTAACTTAAAGGAAGCTCAATGTGGGGATTAAAATGTAGTCTTTAGTCGAACGGAACCCCTAAATCCCTGAACGAACTTACGTATCCAACCGTTTTGAATCGATTAAATAAATAGGAAGAAAACAGTTTAATATTGTCAATGTGCATTAAGGCTGGATTTAATTGCTGAAAGCAGATTGTTGAGGTATAGAATGAATAAAAACGGCTCTAAGCGCCTGCGCTGAGGGAGAGTTCACGTCGCGAGGCATCTATCAAAAGTGGTGGGGTTAAACAAAACCTTCATTGATCTGTTATGAAGACAAGAGTTTATCCATTTCATTAAGACAGATGGCTGGAATTTGAAGGTCAATAATTTGCGCTTAACTAAGTCAAACACACCATTAAAATCACTACAAATGATATCCGTGAAAGAGTCATTAGAAGAAGCCTTGAAAACATGGCATGTAAACTCTGAGAGATTCGTACCAGTTGATCGCTTTTTCATGCAGGAATGGAGAAATGTAGATTTGATAGCCAAAGCTGGTTGCTGAGTAACAATTCGTTCAAACAATCCACATAAGACACTCAACTTGGCAATGCCTTCTTGAAGTAGATTGCGAGCAAATAATTCATTGAAACAGTTAGTAACTTTATCAGACGTTGAAGTAGGGAACATACAGCCTGAGATATAGCTGTACCATCACGGAGTTGAAGTCTAGAGGTCTCGGCCACGTCGCAAATAAAGGCAGCATATTTCTTATAAACAGGAATATCCGCATTCGGCAGAATATGAGAATCAGCGCACTAGTGCGATTTAATCAATCCTTTGTGAAAACCTGGAAATAATTGTGTAAGAGAGACGTTATAAGCTGCTCTTGTACAAGTTTGAGGAGAAGTTACGGCTATAAGCAGCGGAAATCATCCAACACCGTTTTAATTTTTTCAAATAGGTCAGGTAATGTCATGAGTTCTTTATAAAATTCCAAAAGACCCGCTTTTTGCTACTGACACAAGCGAACAACCGGCAAACGTTTCTGATAAGCAATTATTGTTATTTTTGTAACTTTGCTCGTCTTCTTCATTGAAAATGACTCAGTGACATTTATAATCACTTGGATCGTAATGCTTGTTGTCATTTCCTAAACACAAAAGACTAGTGTTCTCTGCTCGTTTGATTTCTTGCCTTTCATTATATTATATTTGAATCCTAATCTCATTTCATTTATATCTTTATTTCTCTGTCCATCGACACACCCGTCATTTAGCGGTGCTTGATTTAGGTTTATACCGATTAATTTAAAAATCAGTAATAAAACAACTTGTGCTTGAAATAGCCGCAAGTGCTAGGTAGGAAGGATCATAGAATTTATTATTATTATTTCGAGTTCGAAGTGTATGCTAAAGCTTAGGGCGCGAACTTATTACCGTCTAACACTTCGTATCCATGCAATTTTCGTAGGGATGACTAAGATATAATCGTCACCTCTTTTAATTCAAACTTGATGAGTTGCAAAAGATTATTATAATAACAATAAATAATAAATGCACTTAAAATGTTAAAAAGTCCTTTTTAAACCGTAAGCCGCGGCATTGTTTCCGAGTTCCCTCTACATCTGCATGCTATAGAGTCGAAAAGTTTGAATTTTCGCTAAGTAGACACCTTATCGCCTAAAGTGTGATAAGTGGTGCGTGTGTTGTTTTATTGTTCGCAGGCAAGCAATCTCTTGCTGCCTGCATAATCCTATCAAAAATTAATTTCCTAACACCTTACTTAAGGTTTACTTTTACAATACTCTGATACGCATATTTCGTATTGGAAGTGACGTTTTGTGTCAAGAGCAATAGTTGCCTTTCCCCTCCTAATTCCTTTTGATTTTCACACTTCACTAGTGTTATACCTTTCCATGCATGCATGTGCTATTTATGTAGTTTGTTTGTTTCATCATTGTTTATTCGTTGAAAGCCAATTTTATACCTTTCGCGTTTTCAATGCGTTTGTTGTCATTGGCATTGTCGAAGGAGTGATTACAAACTTTCGTTTGTTCTTTCTGTATATATTCGATGCAGGAAAGACAAGCGCCAGTTTTATGGCACGAAATAAAAGCTAGATCGAAAGATTAAACACGTTTAAATTCTCTCTCAAAATAAATAAAAACGTATTTTTGCGATAATTTGTTTTTACAGTGCGTCCCTTTTATTCAGGTTTTTTTTTTTTCAAAATTCCGGCAACTAATGACATTTTTAAAGCATCTTTAGACAAAAATTGCGTTATCGTATTTTTTTACTCAACTTAATTAAATCCCGTTTTATTTCTTTTTATTAAAATTTCCATTTATATGCCGTTTACGTTAAAAGTGTTTTTACCGCTTTCGAGCATTTCCATGTTTTCACCTAAAAACAAGCCAAAGATCACGTTTTTATTACGTAAGGAAATGTGAAAGTTTAACCGATATGTATGTACGCCGTATGTACATCGACCGCGAACGAGGATATGGATTATAGTTTATCGACACTTTATCAGCCCTAAATTCCTGACGAAAATAAAAAAAATAATTGTGGGCCGGTTACATTCAACATTTGAAATGGACGAAAGTGACTTACTCGTTAATACCTTTACCCTTAACTGGGCAAAATCGATTTTCCATTGAAAGCACAATCGAAAACCATAGATCAATTAGTGCTTGAAGGATAGGAATTTGAGTTTTTATACTTTACACCGCTTGTGGTACAGAAATATATGAAGATTGTGCAAGCATATGCGACACTCAGAAGAACTAAAGATTGACCTGCGTCTTATCTTATCTTATCGGCTTGTCTGTCCTTCTACCCGTCTTGTTTACTTTCTTTGTGTAAAAGCTATAGGCGGATATATTTGAGATACTTTGATGAAATTTGGTACACTGATGCATTCTGAATGAAGGAAGAACGCTATTGAAAATGGTTCGGCCTTGTGTGCAAAAGTTATAGAAACACTTGTAGCGTGTTCTAGGATGTTTAAAGGTGTGCCCACTACATTCCCTTTACTTGGATTATTAAAGCATAAGTGTTGTAGAGCTTGAGAATCAGATAGACTGTTCATATGAAGTCAATCACATAAGATAATTTCAATTCAAGGCTGAACGCAATAATATCCGTTTATTTGCTTCGTTCAGAAAAGTAGTGACTTTTTTGATTGCGCATAAAAGGATAAGTTGGTTGTCATTTTTAATATATGAATGATATTGGCCATTTATACACACACAAATACACACACGCAAACGGCATGAGATGAAAATACGGTAATGACACTACAAGATAGTTCATCTTTTTAACTCAAAAGCATATTGGACGAAGGAGAAACGCTAATGAAAATGGGTCGTATTGGATCACTTTTGTGACCAGTTCCCATATTACGATTTATTTTGAAACGTTACTTAAGGTTACTTAAATAGTCTTATAGTGGTTTTACTTGTTTCGTACTTCTTAAAGCTTTGTTTATGTGTAAGCATATTGCTAGACGTGGTCATATATGTTTACACACGAACACGTAATTCAAAATTAAATGCTTAACACTTAACAATGCAACGTGCCCAAGTCTATATAGATTTGCATAAAAGATTAGGATAACAACAGATTTAGTAGTGAAATCTTGGCGGGATTATCAAGTAAAACATACGCTATTTATTTACACCTATCAGTTGACAGCGTAGGACGTCCTCGAAAATCCTCGTGCTATAATATGTCAATATACTAAATTTCACTAAAATATCTCAAAAATTGTGGCATTTACGTTGAGCACAAGATAACAAGGCGGACATAAGGGCAGTGGTCTTACTCTTAGATCGATTCAGAGTCGATTGGCATAATAAAAGCTGAATCTATCTCGAGTCTTTCAGGGTGTTGCATACATGCGTGCAGGGACTAAATATACCTTCGTGGTGCTGATGGTGTATGACGTAGAAATTATGAGTCGTGTTAAAAGTGGAAGTTTCAATAAGACATAAAACAAATTTCGTTTATTTACACATTTTCCTTCTGCTACCGGTAAGGTAAGCATGCTATAAAGATAAAAGAAGTCTTTTTGTAATCTAACAGATACGATGCAATAATTGGATCATACACACTTACGAGACCACGGATGAAGCTATACCACAAGAAACCGTTTGTCTTTCTTGCGTCCCTCCTCCGTGACTTATACGAAAGACAATTGGGTTTCTTTCGCGTTTCGGGCTAGTAAGTTTTTTAACAGTTTATTATTAATATTTTTTTATTCACTAGAAATCAAGTTTTTCGTGCTTAAAATATGTATGTTGAGAATCATGGCTAAAACACATACTATAAAAATTCTTTTACGCATGTATTTAGCGTATAACATTTGCATACGAATTCAATCTATTTGTTTTCATTTTCGAAATATTTTTCCATTAAATTCAACTCTTTGTTTGCGCTTTCCTAAAGTTTTCAATTTTTTTTCCATTTTACAGAGAAAATCAAACTTTTTTCAAAAACTAATTTTTTAAAAAGTTAATTTTTGTAAGTACAGGGTTGTTATTGTCTATCCTAAAACTAAAAAGGAAAAAAAATATTTGTGTTCATAGCGTCGATTTCGCCGTATCATTCGCTTTTCTCAATGGTCAGTCGGTTAACTTAAAATTTCAACTGTAGCTTCATTCATTCATTCCCTAGCGGACGCATACTTTTTTTAAAAAGTAGTGATGAATACAATTGAAAAATGAATAGTTGGGCAATGCCATCGTTGATATATCCTATCCAGCACTTGGCCTAATGCAATCCTTCATTTACTCTCATGAGAGAATTCGATAAATTGGAGCTTGATTCCATCATATAGTAGCTGTTCCACACTTTGAATCGATTTTGAATTGCGAACTTTCTATTCTCTATCAACTTTCGTTATAAAGTACCACAGAAATTTCCTTTGTTGCCTTATGAACCTTTGTGTAAGGCGGAAACTCCCTGAGGTGTGTGCATGTTTCTGTTGATCTTATCCGCGCCCAAGACTGACACCTTGTGTGTTCAGCTATTTTCTTGATCTGTCTTTTACTCCCTACAGGAACTCCTAGGGACCACAAATTTTTCCAACATTTGATATTCCTTCATGTCGTCCGTGACCTGTTAGTTGTCATTGGCTGACCGTGCGAGAAGCGTGAAAATCGGGAAAACGTAAGTCCGTGGATTTAATATTTTCCATGATCTCAGCTGAAAATTAGCTGGGTTACATCTACATCGCCGTTCATATTCGTTATACTAATCCCACCTACATTAGCCAATAATACGTAAGAATTGAAAACGAGCTTCGCGTAACACCCCACATACATAAACATAAAAGATGTAGGACGAAGCTGTAATATATAAATATTTATATCACTTTATTATTTCTTTCTTATAAATTGTCACGAGTTCGATTCTGTAAAGTATGCTACATTTTCGCTTTCTGAGCCCCTCTGCTCCTATGAATGCAAAGTTCTAGTAACACATTGACAGACAGACAAGTAGGACATAGTATTCCCGATCCTTCGCTAAGGATAGCAATGGGTAGGTAAGGGACAATCACGTTCCTCTGAATGTAGCGCATTTTATGTTAAAATTCAATAATACCAGGGAGCTGGGAATATCACGTAGCGGTTTTCCAAGTTTTTCCTCTTCCATTGAATATTGGAAGGCTGTTGTTGGCAAGCATTTCACTAGTGACTTATTGGCATTAAATTTTTGCAAGGTTTTACAAGTAACAAAAAAAAAACCGCAGACCGTATGGAATAATAATAAATTAAAATTGAATTCGGATCTTTGCAAAAAAGGCGCACAATATATTTGTTTGTGTGCGGTTGCTTAGTTATCCAACCTACCTTGCCGTTATTGACTGGTAGCCAATTAGAGTTGATACTACTTTGTTCCTTGAAGCTGCCTTCAAACGTATCTGCAATATCCTAAAAGCAGTGGAATAAAAGAAGAAAGAACGATAACAGTTAAAAAAAAATCTGTTTAATAAATTTAATGGACGTTTTGGTGTGCATGCAAGTATATATTTTTTTGTGGATTTGAGTGTAAGTGTGAGTGGATATAAACAAATGTGTGTTTGGGAAATGTTTATATGCATACATATGCTATATAGCTTAGCAAAGTTATTTTAATTTTCTTTTCCATTTTTTTACAAATTTTTTGATAGGATTGCTCTGTAAGAGAAATTCATATGGATTCATAGATACTAAAGTTTGTCTGTCTGTCTGTCTGTCTCTCTGTCTGTCCGCAAAATCAGTATGAAAAACAAAAGCCATACACAGAAGCTAGCAAAGTAATACATTCCACTTACCTGCAATGAAAACGCACAAACTGCTGAGCCAGGTATTGAATTTGTTGGCGTATTAAAAACGCCATAAATCAATTTGGCGCTCGAGTGGCCGTAATGTCCTTCAACGAGATTACTAGCGGATTCTATATACAATAGAATAAAGAGCAAATACAATAAAAAGAATAATGATAATCGCGAAAAATAAAACAACAAACGACAGATGACATTACATGGAGGAACGAAAGTATGCATACGGTAGCTTAATACAATACAAGTACGAGACAACAAAAAAAAAGAGGGAAAGAAAAGCAAAGGGTGTAAGAAAGTCATAAAGAGGAGAATCGAAAGTTTCTGCAGACACTAACGCAAATTTCTTTGACGACAAAGATAAGACGCGCTGCTTATCATTTTTGTTTCCGATCACGTAAGACTTGATAAACGCTTGTGTGCCTTAGATTAATTTCTGTAATACTCGCAATGTATGATTCTCGATATATGACATAACCTAGCAATAAGATGTATGCGGTGATACAATGTTTCCGCTTTCTACTCACCCTACTCTACTGGTTTACAATGGTCTCTTCTCCATTATTAATGTAAGCAAATTTTTAATGGCGTGCTTTTGTTACGCAATTCGCACATTTTGATCCCAGGTGTTTTAGATGTATCACAGACAAACAGGAGCAGTAGCTCTGCTAAATAAGTTTGGCTTCAATTTTTATTTATTTATTTATTGATTCTTATTGATTTGCGGTATACGTCGGATACTCAGAACAAAATACACTTAATAAAAATTTGCCTAGTAATACGCTGTGCTAAGCATCGGTAATATGTTACTTTTAAAATTTGACATCCGAAACTTTATTATTATGATTATTAAAGTGTTGCAACGAGAGTACGATGAAGAGTAAGATTGATTTAAACGAAAATTAAGCATTTTGCACAAGCTGCACGTCCTTGGAAAGATTATTGATCAAGGATACATGCGCAGTTAATTTCGTTTTTTTCGCACTCTCGGGCTAAGTAAGTGTTCGCTTTCCCAGTCTCTTGTGGGACGATTTTAAATAAATTTTTTGCAAAAATCACGAAACAGTTGGAGTTTGCTCCTCTTTTAATTAATTTTTTCCCGGTCTTCATTTTACAAAGCTTTGTGAACGGCTTAACGCACTTCGGCTATAGCGTTGGAGTTGTGTCTTTGCTAGTTAAATTGAAATTTACCTCACAATCTTCAAAGGAAGTAAGATGTTTCTATTCTAATAATTCATTAGTCAACTGTAACTTTGCGGAAGAGTTTGTTGCATTAAGTCTGGGAAGTAATTTTGTAAATTTATAGATCATCTTCTAACTTCCGGGAGTCTCCATCGTCTGAGATTGCCGATTAATTGTTTCATTTTCGTTTATTTGTGGTGATCGTTTCAATCCTCATTAGTTTAAGGGATAACATCGTCTTTAACACAACTAATTTTCTTTTTATTGCTCAAAATGATTCCTTAAACCGTCAAGAATTACCTCACAAAATTTTAAAAGGTTAAAAGACTTGCTTTTTCGAACCTTTTGGTAAACTGGTACTTGAAGCTTTAAGTGCGTTTTGTTTCACCAAAATACGGTTTTTTTTTAATCAAGCAAACGCATGTTTGGTGCGAAAGTATCAAACCCAGATCAAGATATAGAAGAGCAAAAACAAAGAGCAATTTTTTGTGGAGTTTTGCCGCTCATAGCATAGTATGTACTTTATTATTGCTTTGCGGGCTGCATAGAGCTTCCGTTATCTTACATCGTAGCTGTCTGCTGCTATCTTGCCAGAAGTCGAATTTTTCATAACATAAGTTTGAAATTTACTTTAAAGAGTAAATACATTTCACTATTTTCTAGGTGTAAATCTCTTCGAAACGTAAAAGTTGACGCGCGACCTTGCGTCGCCCTCTTTATACTATACTTCACTGTCAGATTTTTCTTTTTCTGAACATTTCACTTGCTACACAACCATTTAAGCATGAATTAGTGTAAGCTTCAACCTTGGTACTAAAAACGGAATATCTTCTGTACAAAGGAACGATCATCTGTCATTTGATGTAATCATTTTATATATTTATGATAAATTATAAAAGCAAACCGGACTTACGTATCTCATTAAAATAGAATGGAAAATCCCCTGGTATTGAGCAATTTAGGCGCGATTTCAGAAACGAGGTCCAACGATTGCGAAAACGATGTGGGCCGCCCTTATCCCATTTACACACGCGAGCGACACGTGAATAAATTGCCTGCAAAATCCAAAAATTCCAAATTCATATACAAAACCTATGAAAAGAGAGCTAATGCTACGCTAAGCACATCAATCATTCATTAGCTCGAATTATCTTAAGTTGGTAATTAAAAGTTTGCTGAACTTTTATTTTTTCTTTTTTTTTTTAAGTTTATTTACCTTTCCGCAATTAATATATTCTACGGCAGTTTCCCGAAAAAAGAAATAAACAAAGTCACCCTGGGTAAAGGAGCTGACAAAGTTGGGAGCTGAAAATTAACAAAAATCGTTATATATACATGAGATGAGATATTTGTTAAATTAACACGGGCATATGTACGTGTGTAGGTATGTGTTTATGCGTGTAGGTATATAGTTGATTTGATAATTAATTCATGAACATCTTTACATATGCGATGCATATATTTTATCTTTCATTTATAAATAATGATTATTAATAATAATACATAGTATATAGCAATTAGTTTGCCGCTCTTGATGCTGCTGATTTCTATGACTGTTCTATGAATTTTCCTTTGCTTATTTTATAATCAAGGAAATCTCAAGTAGATGTGATTAAAATGTCTTTCCTACCAATTATTTTTAATAAGTATAATTAACTTTAGTTTGTTTACCTTCGAAGAAAGAAAGCAGAAGACTGCTTGTACACTAATATACGAAATAATGCAACAGAACAGACGGTACATCTCTCGGCAGCAGATTCATTTAGATACATCATTCAATGCAAATATGTAATCAGTACAAATGGAACATGAACAGACGGAACTTTATGCACTTTCGAGCGAAGTTTCTACGTGCCTCCGACCGTCTGAGTGCAAAAACTTAACAAAAGGAGCGAAGTGCGAAGTTTCAAACAACATTCTTCCGTCTTATAGTTGAGAGACAATTTTATAGATTTATGTTTAATTAAATATAAAAAAGGGGAAACCTTTCTTGAATCCCCAGGAAATGGTATGATTTATTTCCCTACAAAAACCTGATGTTTTTGTGGAATTTGGAATTTTTAAGAAAGCGTTTAGATGAAATGTTAAGCTTTAATAGGATCGCACTGTGTTAATTGGGAACTTTGAACAAAATTGACCATCGGTTTAATATTAGCAAGACACTGTTATAACACTTAGTTTATCACATTAATTTACTTCTATGTATTCAAAAAGCAAACATAAGGTAAGAAAAGGATAAAAGGAGAATAACTTACTCTTCATCTATACAAACGCATATGAAGGCATCTAAGTTGCAAACATAAATATTTAGGTAATTTACATCGCACAATTCTACGCCAGTATGCCATTCAACATTCAGGGGATTTAAAAACCTTAACCATATATTTGACACATTCGACTTGAGCTGATTTTTTCTTTGTCCGATATACTAGTCTTTCCAACTTTCGTATGTATTTAACTGTAGCTAATAGATAGATATCGACTTTCTTTGTTTTATCTTAAAAACACGTTCTTTTTTTTTTTTTTTTTTTTTGTTTGAATTTGATATGGATTGGACCTTTTAACTTAAATTTAGATCCATAATCCAGAAACTTTATAGAAATCCATTGATGATATTCAAAATTTCA